GTTAGTGTTAAACGTAAACTACTTAAAAAAAAAAGGGGGAAGTTTTTAAAAAAAAAGATTTGACAAGGTAAGGAAACTGTTTCTGTGCTTGTTTCATTTAAATTAAGATGGATAAAAGCAGAATTTTTCTTCTGAATAGTAAAGTTTCAAAGCTATATTAAGTCAATGTTCAGTTGTAAACTTTTGAAAGAACAACCATAATGCTTTGTTCAGAGTTACAAACATTTCAGAGTTATGAACAACCTCCATTCTCCATTCGTAACTTTGAGGTTCTACTGTATAGCCCAGAGTAAGGGGCCGTGTGTAGCTGAAACACCCCTGAGGGGTCCATATGGTGGCGTGTAGAGTACAGACGCTGCACACGCAGCTAGCACAGGTATAGATAGCAGTGTAGATGGTGAGCCCTGGCTTAGGCAGGTAGTGTACAGTGCCCTACATTCCTGAACCCTAGGGTATATATCCCGTACAGCTCTCTACACACCCAAGCAGGGGGAAGGCAGGTCTACACTGCTACTTTTAGCAGAACATTTCCCTGCCACAGTGAAAGACTCAAGTGGGAAAAGGCTCTAGGCTGCTGGAACCTTTCTCCTCTATCCCCACTGCTGGAGGCTTTCGCTACTGCATGTATCTATCCACTGTACAGAGTATGGTCACTGCAGCATGTAGTGACCTGTACCCTACACACTGTCACAAGTGCAGGCAGTTGCAGACAAGGTCTCGGAGAGACACAATGCCTCCCAGAGTGCCTCGGTTGTGCTGGAGGGGGAAAAGGGAGTGGTTTTCTATAATCCTTTTTAAGGTACAGCTTACTCCTTAACCAGTACTGCTGTAGGGTTGCCAACTTTCTAATCGCACAAAACTGGACACCCTTGCCACGCCCCCCGCTCTGCCCCTTCTCTGAGGCCCCGCCCCCACTCACTCTATCCCCCACGTTGCTCGCTCTCCCACACCCTCACTCACTTTCACTGGGCCTGGGCAGGGGCTTGGGGTGCGGGAGGGGGTGAGAGCTCTGGCTGGGCGTGCAGGCTCTGGGGTGGGACCAGAAATGAGGGGTTCAGGGTGCAGGAGAGGGCTCTGGGCTGGGGCTGATGGGTTTGGACTGCAGGAGGGGGCTCAGGGCTGGGGCAGGGTGTTGGGGTGTGGGAGGGGCTGCGGGCTCAAGCTGGGGGTGTGGGCTCTGGGGTGGGGCCGGGGATGAGAAGTTTGGGGTGCAGGAGAGGGCTCAGGCCTGGAACAGGAGGTTGGGGTGCAGGATGGTTTCGAGGTATGGGCTCTGGAAGGGAGTTAGGGTGTGGGAGTGGGTTCTAAAGTGGGGCAGGGAGTTGGGGTGCAGGTGGGGGTTTGGGGTGCAGGCTCTGGCCGGGTGGTGCTTACCTCTGACGGCTCCCGAAAGCAGCTGGCATGTCTGGCTCCTAGGCATAGGAGCCGGGGGGCTCTGCACGCTGCCCATGCCCGCAGGCGCCGCTCCTGCAGCTTCCATTGGCAGTGGTTCCTAGCCAATGGGAGCTGCGGAGCCGGTGCTCGGGGCAGGGGCAGTGGGTGGAGCCTCCCTGGCTCCCCCTGCATCTAGGAGCGGGAGGGACATGTCGCCTGCTTCCAGGAACTGTGCAGAGACAGGCCAGGGAGGGAGCCTGCCTTAACCCCGCTATGCCACTGACTGGACTTTTAATGGCCCGGTCAGCGCTGCTGACCAGAGCCGCCAGGATCCTTTTTCAACCAGGTGTTCCAGTCTAAAACTGGATGCCTGGCAACCCTATACTGCTAGCTGACACATAAAGTGTTGTGTATAGGGGGGGACAAGGGAGTTGAGTCATGGCCTGGCCTAGTCCCTGCCCCTCCCTGGGGATAGTGTCTCATACACAGCCCCTGCACTCTCCCGGCACCTAGAGTTAAGATTCAGGTAGACAGGCTGGCAAGGAGGGAGTCGCTACTCCTCTTCCTATTTCCCTGCACAGCTATGTTAAGCTTATTCTTAATCTAGCCCTGTACCAGCCGTTCAAAATTGCAACACAATGGTTTGCAAAAGTAAAACAATTTCAATGTTATAAATATGGAAAGAAAGGGTGATATTTATTTTATTATATTTTATTCCTACAATTTAAAGAGAGGCTGATTTTTTATTTTTATTTTTTAATTGCAGGTGGGAGGGAATTGCTTCTGTCTTGGTACCTTTTCTATGCTGACAATTTAAAACCCAAATTAGAGATCGTTATGAGGTGTTTTATAATGGAAATGTCAGAATAGCCTTGACTGCTAAAACCCTGCTTTGTTTAGGGAAACAATGGATAACCCTCAAAAACTAATAAGATTCATTCTGTTTCGATCAGTCTCGATGGTGACATGGAGTATTGCACCTATTGGTTCTGCAAAACTGTGCTGGAAATGACTTGGAGAAGAACAAGCTCTCTCATGACACTGCAATATTATACCAAAGTAACAATGACAATACTTCCTGCCTTTGATCAGGTTGGAAATCAGTATTAAGAGAACAGCCTCTTGTGTTACATTTTGGCACTTCCATTTTTGGCCTCTGCCAGAATCTGTAAGCACAGAGGTGAGCAAAAGTGACAAACATAGGTTTTTAAAATAAGCCTTGACCTTATCTATTGTCTTTTTTATTTGTAATAGTTTGGTTCTGTGAGGCCTCCACTGAATTGCCTCCCACTGAGGCCATTTAGATTATTTGATTTGCAGTGAAGGGTGTAAGACTACTGGTTCCAGTGCTCCTTACCACAGTAAAATCCCAGTGATAGGAGTTCTGTTATTTTCTCACCTAGCTACATGTGCTATATTTAAACTTACCTGTGATGGTCCTCACTCTGGGGCTGGTTGGTCAGGGTTAAGGCCTGTGACTGCAGGAGGGTTGTTGGTAGGGGAGCTTGGGCCCCCCCATTCCACTGGGCTCTGAACCAGGGCCCTTTGAGTGCTATCAGTGATCTGACAGCTGAGGCTGCTTAAGGCTGCCTTCTCTGGGCCTCTTCCCATCTCCCCTCCTGCAACTGTCCCAAAGTCATGATCCGGGTTAAGGCAGTGTGAAGGGTGCCCGCTCATCATAAGGCACCTTCTGATGGTGGCATCTTCTCAGGCGCCACCTGCCTCCACCCACAATATGGCCCACCCTCCTGGGCCAGCTCAGGGCTTTCCTCTGCTGGGATAGTCCAAACAAAAAATAAAGGGGATTACCAAAGTCTAGAGTTCATATGGGGGGGGGAGGAGGGGAGAGGGGAATGCTTCCCTCTCCAGCTGTCTGTAGCAGGTCCTCCTTTCTCTCAGGGAGGGATCTTTGGGCAATTGTCTTAGGGAGAGATGTCTGCCTTCCCTCCACTCTCATCTGCTGGAGCTGCAGGTCGCAGGTCTGCTCTCTTCCCTGGTCTGCCACTGCCACCAAATGAGCTGTTCCCCTGCCTTTTAACCAGTGGCGTAGCCAGCTTCTAAGAGGAGGGGGAGCAAACATAAAAAAGGTGCCCCCCCTTGGCTCCTCCTCTGGCCACGCCCCCTGGCTCCTCCTCCGGCCGCCACCCGCCCCTCCCCCCCATGGCTCCTCCAGCCCTGCCGTGCCACCCCCATGCCCCCCCCCTCGCTCCTGCGGCTGCCGACCGCCATGCTGCCCCCCCCCCTCCTCCGGCCGCTTTTGGAAAGGCGGGGGAAGCGGCTGCTTCCCCTGCACCCCGCTAGCTACGCTACTGCTTTTAACTCTTCCTCCAGTGGGGAAATTTCCAACAGGTGTGGCGGGGCAGGACAGGCTGGGCCCAGAGCAGTTCCTTTACCCCTTGTTGCCCAGTGTGGGGTTGTACACCCCATCATACTACCAAACTGACATTTGCTAGAGAACAAACAGAATAGAATGGATATTTTTTTAAGTCCCTACAGCCATCTATTGTTACTAGAGAACTCTACATTTTGATGCCAACCATTAATAAACAGAATAAAGAAGGGAAAAATATCCCAAATGATAAACAACCAGACCACAATATTTTCCATGTGACATTGTACCATGGTCTCAATTTTCATCCTAAGATTCCAAAATTTCAGATTTATAGGTTCAACTGCTGGAAAGGACAGACTAACTTTACACATCACCTTCATCTCACTTCTCATATTCTCCGATCCAATATGGGTAGCAGGAATGTTTCCCAAACTGAACAAGCCTCCTTTTGCAGGGCATATCTACACAAACACTTATTGCATAGCAAGCTGGGAGGTAAATCTACAGTGCTCCAGCATGCTGCACACTAACTGCCTATATGGACCCTTCTAGTGAACATTAAAAGTTCCCTAGTGCACTTTGCTGTACTGCTCTTTCAAACCGTGGCAAGTCAATGCACACTAGGGAACACCTAGTGCACATCAGCAGGGTCCACATGGACAGTTAGTGTGTGGCACACTGGAGCTCTGTAGATTAACATCCCAGCTAGCCTCAAACTAAGTATTTGTATAAACATGACCACAAATAGCTTTGAAACCATCAGGCTGTACTCGGCAGAATGCCAGCAGGAGACTAAATCTCAATATAAAGCACCAATAAGCTTGTAAATCACCTCTTAGACAAAGAGGTTCAAACTGATACCACACTTTCTGCTGGCAAGGAAGAGTATGCGATGAACTAGCAACTGGGTCAAGAGTGACCCTTCCAAAGGGTCTGAACCTGCACCCATTGAGGTCTGACCCCAACAACAAGAACACACCCCTTATTAGCTCAGTCTAAGACCCGCGGTTCTTACAGCTAAGCACCCTTAATTATAGTGGTTGAGTTAGATCAAGGATCTCAAACTTTTTCATACTGTGTACTGTATCTTAATACAGATGTTATCTCATAGCCATTTCCTTTTCCATTCGTGGGTGACATCCAGACCCTATTAACGTCAGTGGGAGTTTAGCCACCTGCTTCAATGGAACCAGAGTTTCACCTCATGATTATATAAGAACCCTGAGGCAACTACAGCAATTGCTTACAATTTAACTGCTAGAAATAAGCAGGAAGAGTCAGCACCATGTTACAAGCCTGGTCTCCAGGGACTACTGGTGCTTCTCACACCACAATTTAAAAGCCTCTGAATTAGATAATACTATTAGACCTACAGGAATGAATACAAGGATTACACTGAATTGGTGCATTAAGGGCAGCTTTAAATTCCACTAAGGCTCCATGGAAAGCGGCAGCATGTACCCAGATCTCTAAGCCTCGGATAGTCCTTTTACTAACAGTTCAATTATTTTTCTCTTAATAACGTATACTCACCTTGCATATGATTGCTAAAAATGTATCTTGTTGTAGGCCCATAGAAGTCTCTTCAAACACTTATCTTACAAATACTGAAGAGTGCATATAACTTAATTCACTTGTGTAATCTTATTTAAGTCAATTTAAAATAAGTCAGTCAATGGGACTATTGATATGGGTAAAGTTAAGCACATGTTTAAATTTTTGGAGGATGGAGCTCTATATTTATATAAACTTACTTGTCAGAAAGAAGTTAATAAAGCCAAATATAATAAGATATGGGCAAATCAGTTTGGGTTTAAAAAAATTACCTGAACCTTCACCCAAAATTCAAAATAAACCTTTTTACAAAGTCTGAGGTTTGATTTATTTTTTAAAAACACTACCTTTCATCTTTCCACTCCTTGGCTGGGAGAAGTGTCAAAGACTTCAAGAAAGCCTACTGGTATAATGCTTCCAATCCAATCGGGAGCAGGAAGTACTAGAAAACTTACAATAAGGCTGATTTTCACAAGTTTTGCTGCTCATTTTTGCAGTATTACAGAGAACAAAATGTTTTCTTAACATAGGATGTATATAAATTCTATATGTCTTACCAGGTTCTGTACCATACACATTCTCTCACTTCTCAGCTCAGCTACAAGTCCATACATGTCCACAAAATCATGATCATTTATATGTTGTGTTAAGTGATCAAGTGCAATATAAACCCCTGTTCTTCCAACTCCAGCACTGTAAAGAATATATATAAAATAAAATATAGTTTTTACACTAATTATTTTAATATATATAATTGCAAAGCTTCAGTATAGCAGATCCAGTGGCTGGAAGTTGAATCTAGACAAATTCAGACTGAAAATATGGCTTACATTTTTAATGATGAGAGTAATTAACCATTGAAACAATTTTGCAATTTTCATCATTATTAAGTTGATGGACAAGGACATATTCATCCAATGTCTCCAATAGGAGAATCCTCCAACTCCCGTCTCAATTGCTGTATCTTGATGTACAGCAAAGAGGAGCTGTGGTGCACATTTAATGGGGCTACGTGATAATAATAATATTCCCCCTGTAACTGAACCCTTATCCATGGATTCTCCCGTAGTCATGGATTCTCCATCATTGACAATTTTTAAATTTTTAAGAGTGGATGTCTTTCTAAAAAGATATGCTCTAGGAATAATTCTGGGGCAGTTCTATGACCTATGCTATACAGGAGATCAGACGAGGTGATCACCATGGTCCCATCTGGCCTTTGAATCTATGAATTCAAAACCTCGAAAAATAAATTTATCATGAAAAGAAAACTGGGCGAAAACTAGAATCTTTATCCACCCTCTCACTCTGGTACCTTTATTGACTGGGATAAAATGGAATCTAGATGTGAACTCTGACCTGGCTTTGGTTTTGCAAAGCCAAAGCCTGATTCATGAGGTGCAGCTAAATCAAAATTATGCTATTTAGCAAACTGTAGGAATTGGAAGGAGCCAAAAAGCTTTTATATGAATCCCAACAAACTTTGCTGTTTTGAATGCAACAAAACTGCAATCACAAGGTTCTGCAAAACTGAAACTTGGATTCCTTGGCGCATTTCTATTAAAAACTAAACAAAACAAAGAGGACTTCTATACAGTGAATTGTTATACAAGAAAAAACGTTTGAAAAAAGGTGGGAATAGATAGCTAGGCTGAAGTGGCAAGTCCAACACACTTGTGGCTAGGGGTATTCTTCTTAATTAAGGGGTTTGAAAATTAACAGGGTTACCTTAAAATCATTCCCACATTTATAAGCAAGCAGAGCAAAAAAGGCTGGGCAGGGGTAACATGATCATGTTTGCTCACCAAATGTGTGACTGCACTCTGTAAAAGCTGCAACATGTGAGAAGCTCTGCTAAGTGGTATTATAATAAATGAATCCTGCGGTTATGAGGACATGTGTTGCTGCTGCAAGGTCATAGTGACATAAGCAAGGGAACATCCTTAGTATGGGCTGTGGGCCAAATTCTCTGTCCCCTTTGCAACTCTCTGCAGTGAAAAGGAGATGGAATCTGGTCCTATCTCCCATCTGAGGACAACCACCAGCATGGGGGAGTCCTCAGAAGCATAGAGCCAGTGTAGTTGCCTCTTCCACTAGTCTCTAGTGTAGGGGTTGCATTGGGAGCAGGGAAGAGGAGTGGCAGGAAAGCATTATGTTCCAGCAGTGGCCATTTGGTGGATAGTCTCTTAGTGGCATTGATAGTTGGAGCAAGTTAGAGAAGTCCCAATGCATTATAGGCTGAACACAGATGAGGGATGGAGCAGAGAATTGAGAGCTGAAACCAAATCGCTCAGTGTCCCCTCACACTGAGCACAGCAGAGAATCTGGAACATGGTTCTTAGCCTGAATCACTACTTCAGAATGTGCCCACTGAGTCAGTGGGGACACTGAGAGACCATCTGGAAATGTGGAAAAAACTGTATAACATGCAGACCTGCTGACCACCTTACTGAAGAATTAGCCTTGCTCAGACACTGACTCTTTGAAATGATAGTGTAATGGTGCAGAGAATGAAATCAATGGGAGCGATGAGAGCTGAACACATCTCAGAACCAGACCACTTATTTAGCTCTCCAACATATAGATTTGGGCATCTATTTTTAGGATCCAGTTTTGAAATCTGGCCTTTGAATATGAAAGGGATTGTAGATACAACCTTCTATTCCAAGTCTCCATTCTTTGCTGGTTCCCATATAGTTTCTGTCTTCTGATAATATATGATATGTAGATTTTAAATAAACTTTTCAACACTTCTTCCTTAAAGAAAACTATAATTATGGTAGAAGTCATTAAAAAGTCAACATTTGTCAAGTGTTACCACACACACATCTCCTATTTTAAGTAAATAGGAAATCTGAAGTGAACTTTAATGTGACTGTATGGTAAATACCGGACTAACTCTTTCACTGACATCATATCAGTTGGATTGCATGGGGTGGAAGGGAAAACACAAACTGGTCTTCTACCTCCAGAAAGAGTTGAGGAACATTGCTTGTGTGAAAGTAGAATGAATTATATTGTTAAAATAGAATGGATTAAAGAAATACTGTATGTTCCTTTAAGCAGGAATAAGGAATGTTGAAATATAGTTGTCAGGAAGAGAAACATTAAGGTATGAAACAATGGGTCCACTTAAGCTAATGGTGGGACATTAACAGGAGATCGGTAATAGTTAGTAAGGAAATAAGATATGTATATCTAGTCCCAGGTAAACTTATCAGTTCTGCTTCCTTTTGTTATCTTGTTAAGTTCGTGCCCTTTTATCTGTATAAATAAGATAGTTTGAGTCTTGCATGGTGCTCACATTATCTGGGTGTATTAGCAGAGCGCTTTGCTAATAAACAGACAAATTGTGAGGAAATCTGAAGTGAACTTTAATGTGACTGTATGGTAAATACCGGAATAACTCTTTCACTGACATCATATCAGTTGAATTGCATGGGGTGGAAAGGAAAACACAAACTGGTCTTCTACCTCCAGAAAGAGTTGAGGAACATTGCTTGGAAACTTGCACTGCTGCCAGGGCTATACTCTGAATAAAAGAGCAGCCTTTTTTCCCCACTGCTTTCAATCTGGCAACTTTCCTGCACACTAATATTCACTTAAATGGTATAATACTTTCATGTATGTACTTAATTCTCTGCTTACCTGCAGTGAACAACCATAGGTGTGTTATCATGTGCTCGACTTGCACGGATCAGCTTGACAAAATGGATTAATGGTGCTGTAGTTTCAGGGACTCCATGTTCAGGCCAGGCAGTAAAGTTACACTGACGTACCATCATACAATCCCCATGCTGGCAAGCACAAATTAGATACAAGTTCTGTATTAGAATTTTGAAACAGACCCATATTAGATCTAAAAGTGAACTGTACTGTAACACCTAAGTTTCCCTCGCACATTCTTCTAAATAACCTTACCTAAAGAGGAAAGTTTGAGACTTACACTGTTGTCAAATGTACTAGCATCAGGAGATAACTTCTTGTGCATGGGTTAAATGACTGTTGTTTATGGGAAGCTGGCAGCAGTCCACCCATGGGAAAGTGTTAATGACCTCAGCCAGCAGGAGACTCAACTCTCCCCTTGACTTTAGAAGCCAGACGGGACCTGTGTCCAATTTGCAGATTACAAACTGAAGTGTCTCCAGGTCTTCTAGTAGCTCAATGAGCAAAGCTGGCTGAAACTCAATCAGAGAAGGTGTTCCATCTGACCCTTCCCTATACTGACTTGCTACTGTCAAGGCAGCCAACTGATCCAATTCCAATTACTCTTTGGCCAGAAAGCAGGGGGAAAGTATATGTGAGCGACTACCCCACTATAGCAGTTATGATAATACATAAAAGCAGGAAGTGATGACCTGACTTCTTAACTACTGTATAATGCATAAGGACAATTTGGATCTATGTTAGTAAAGTAGGACGCGGTGACGGGGATTATGGATGCAAAATGTACATGTTGACTTGCATGGAAAAAACCTTAAATAAACAAACAATAACTCATCCATTTGTGGGTTTAAAACAAAGAGCAAACTGAAAGACAAAAATACAAGATACTTAATCAGCATACTGATAAATGGCACAATTTAAGGTGTAATGTATTTTAGTGACTGCATACGGAATGCTTAGAGAGCATGACTTGTGTTTTCTGAAAGCCTCATATTGGTTAACAGATATGAATTTGTGTTTTGCCAGCATACATTTCTGGCTGTAAGCCCCCTTTTACTGTGGCTGCTTCTGTGTTCTGTTTTAACTACAAAACAAATTTATCATATCTCACAATCTTGTTTTTAAATGTTTCATTGCTCTGTACTATGTACACAATGTATTCCTAGGAGTCTGATAATTGGGATGTTGCCTACTTGTTACCCCTGTTTCCACTAGTGTGTGCCAAGAAAAGATAATGCATCTTTACGTTTGGACATGGAGGGTCACATCCTAGGGTCTGGCAGAATTGCACACTATATATGTCAGTGCTGGAGGTCCAAAGGAGGCATAGGATTGTCTTGGCCACTATATGCAGGACTGATTCCTGAGCCTAAGTGCTCTTCTAGTTGTTACTGGCTGCTAATGGTTACAAAAGCCTGAAACCACAGAAAGTGCAAGTGGTGTTAAGACACCGAGAGCCACTTGTATTGGGAGAATCTCCCAGGGCTGGTTATGTCAGCTCTATAGTTCACTACTGCTGCTGATGCAGTACAAAGCAGCTGCACTGTTCCAGAGAATCTCACCCTTGGTTGCTTTATCTGGGAGGGATGCATTAGAAGGGATTTTTATCATTCCCAAATTTTTATAATTACTCCCTTCCAGAAAAGATATTGAGATAGTCAGGTAGAAACTTTGGCTCCCAGCAGATTAGAGATTCAGTATCCCTGATATTCTACTTCCTATCATCTGGGTTTCACATATCAGTTCCATGCGACAGAAACTGGAGACAATTTTCAAAAAATTAAAAATATTCAGAAAAAACAGACAATGCAATGTATGCAAATTTGGGATTAAAAGAAGAACTTTTAGGGACAGCTGAGTGGGATGGAACACATTTGACATTCACTGGGATTTAAGAGTGTATTTTTATAAAAGCATTTTTCACTTTTCCCTTACCCTTTCAATTTTTAGATCCCTGATAGTCCAGTCTATGTGAATATCTTCCACTAATTTGGTAATCACTATATCTCCAAACACAGTCACTGGTTTGTTGTCTTCTGGCCAGTATTGGTGACATCTTACCTGCAGTCAGAGGACACTGCTTATTAACAATGAACATATATAATTCTGATAGAAAGCATATATAATTGACAGTTATTGCATGCATTGTTAACTGATATGCCAGTAACTTACCCGTCCTTTTTCAAAACATTGCGTAAGCATCACAAGCGTTTTTGCTCTAGTCTCCCACACCATTCTCCAGAAATCACCCACTGTTCCTGGTAATGGTCCCTGAGTAGCAATAAACTCATTTGGACACAAGTAGCCCTACAATGAAAACATTTAATATATATGTATATACACAAACAAAAAGTGTGTGTGTGTGTGTATGACTCATAATTATGCCTGCCGCCATATCAACAGAGTTTGTGAATTTGTCAGATATATAAATTAAACAGGGATAGGCCAGCCAAGTTGTTGCATTGGAAACCTCCAAGGATAGCCTAAGTGATGTGGATAATTCAATAGGTGAGATTCTTTCCATTGAGTAGGTCTGATCTCAGCCAATGCCCAAATACTTTAGAGGTCCTGTGCTACTGGAAGTGGCATCCTTTAAAAATATGTTAAATTGAAGTCATGGCTACTTAGAGTCATTCAAAATATCCCAAGGTTACAGCCTATGGCTGTATTACCTTTACTGCAGAGTTTCACCCATGATCTCGGGGCAGCTGTGGCTGGGGGGCTGGGGGCATGGTTGTGCAGCTCTATTAGTGCAAAACTGCTACGGATCCAGAGCTGGTGGGAGCCCACATACATTGTCTTGTCCTCCAATTGATCAGCCCAGGTTCAGAGGTGGCCTTTTTCCTGCCAAAGGGTTGGAAGGAACCTCAGCCCTGAAAAGTGATGTTCTAAGTCTCTCTCTGAGAGAGGATCCCCTGAAGTCACCCTGTGGATTTTTCCATGGAAGGGATGATCTTGGTTTCTGTTTTTGTACATAATTCTAAAATGAATTAAAAGCATGAGAGCAGTTTTTTCAAGCAGAGATTGCAGTACATGTGCCCCTTGGCTGTCCTTCCACAGGATGGAACCAGTTTTCTTAAAGGGGCCATTGGTGCACCAGGAGCTCTATGCATTATATAAAATTAAAAAAATAAATGTTACATTGCAGAGCTGATAGTCCATCATGGAGTTCTGGTAATTAAACAGAACAAACAGTGCAAAAGTTTATTAGCCTCATCAAAACTCCTCAATAGAATTACAGTCCTATAATTCACAGCTGGCTGTTATTTATTTGATATATAATATACATAACAGGTGGCAGTGGGAAACTACACTAATCCTCCCTAGTTGAACAGTGAAGTGAGGAGCTATAACTCAGGGATGCAAAGCTCTGAGTTAATTATTTGCTTTCTCCCTTCGTGGGTGAACCAATAAAAATAAAAGTAGCATTCAAATTCCCACTTATTATACAGTATATACAAGGTGTTTCTCTCTATATCTATCTATCTATCTATCTACCTACTGCTAAGAGTTCTCCCATGCAGGCATTTTTGCTCGCTTCTGACTTATGCAGGCATAATGCCTTTTGTCACCGTTGATAGGATATTGCAGCTGCTAAGGCCACCAATTCTCAGAGCTATAACTTTGCCCTTTATAGATCTCTCTCCCTTTCTCTGTGTGTGTATATATATATATATATATATATATATATATATATATATATATATATATATATATACACACACA